AATTCACAGGATTATTGGGAGTATTCTGAAAGCATACACTGATAAATTTGAAAATTTAGAAGCAAAAATTTAGAAGCAATGGTTAAGTTTCTACATACAAATGATTTACCAAAATTGAGCCAAGAGGATACAAATGACCTCAACTGATTAATAGCAAGCAATGAGCAGTAACATAAAGTGCTCAAACAAAAACAAAAATAGAATAAATAAAACAACAGCCCAAGATTGAACAAAATCATTCTAGATGTTACAGACCTTCAATGAAGGGTCAACACCAATAACCAATACTCCAATAGATCCATAAAAAAGTAGTGGAAAAACACTCAGAAACATGTGCTAGGAAGCCAGTATTACCTTGATACCAAAGCCAGATAAGGATATAGGCAAACACACACACACACACACACACACACAGAGAGAGAGAGAGAGAGAGAGAGAGAGAGAGAGAGAGAGAGAGAGAGAGAGAGAGAACTATAGAACATTTCCCCCTGATGACTATAGACACCAACATTGTTAAAATATACTTGCAAACTAAAATCAAAAACATTTTAAAGGCAGCTTGTCTCAGAACTCTGAGAGCTGAGATTATATGTTGTCTGCAATGTGACTGAGAAAATGGGAGCAGGCTCAAGTTCCAAATTATTCATTAAGCAAGACTTTGGGTACTAACCAATGAGATGGGGTATTTTGGGAGAGGGCACGTTCCAGCCTAGGAGGACAGGAATTTCTTCCAACCAGGAGACTTCAAAAACCACTGCCTTGTCCAATTTTCTACACTGACGCCCTAGTTGCAGAATGGCATGTTAGAACTGCTTCCTTTCACTCATCTCTTGAATTTGTCATATGATCTCCCACATGCTGCCCATGTTCTGGCCACACAGAAATGTTAACAGGTGAAAGCAGGTATTCAGGATGGTGTTTACTCTGGAACATGGGAAGGAAGAGAATGTGACTAGGAGAAAGTGACGATTGACAAAATGGTTTTTAAGGTCCTGGCAATGTTTATTTCTTAATTCAATATTAGGAATATGGATATAAATATTTTGGAAGTTGATTTAACTTTTAGTATAATTTTATGTGTATGGATATTTTGCCTGCAAGTATGTCTGTACACTATGTATATGTCTGATGCCCATAACTTCTGGGACCAGAGTTGCAGACAGTAGTGAGCTGTCACATGGGGTGTTGGGAATCAAACCTGGGTCTTCTGGAAGAACAGCAAGAGCTCTTAACCATTGAGACATCTGTACAGTCCATAAAAAAATATGTTTTTGTTTTGTTTATAGAAAAGACAAAAATTAGGTGCGTCTAAGGCTCAAAGTCAGTAGGTCTTAAGTAGCATCTAGACTACAAACAGCCAGGTCCTGCTTGGACCAGGCTCATCTTGGGAAGTCCTAGGTCAACTAGCTGGATAGGGTAGATTCAGACAGTTGACTGTCTATGTAGGGCAGCAAACTGGGGACCACTCCACATACATTCAGACAATACCAGATAGGGCCAGGTGTAAACAGGCTGGAGCCAGGCAGATGGGAAATCGTTGAGCAACAGAGCAATGATCAGGCAGCAGTGCAGCAAGGGCTCAGGCAGATGAATGAATACCGTGTGTAGTTTTAAGTGTTTCTTGTTTGCTATGTTCTAAACCCAGACTCCGTACCGTATTTAAAGGGGATGCACGCTTCCAGTTCTCTCCAGGCATTTCTACTCGAAGAATTTCATCCGATCCTTTCTTGACTATGGCTGATACTACTATCACTTCAGAGTTTTTGTTTGTGTGTGTGTATGGGGTGGTGGTGGCTTGCTTTCTTAAGACTGAATCTCATACATATTTTCTAAATCATCGTTATTAATAAATTTGGTGGCAACCGATTTTTTTGTCCATTTTTATTCAGCTCCTATGCTGGTTGGTTTTCGTCAACCTGACGCAAATGCAGACAAGAATGACTCTTAACTGGAAAAATAAAAAGCTTGTGTCAAGCTTGGCCTGTAGACAAGCTGAGGGGCACTGTCTTGACTATCACAATGTGGGTGGGGCCATCCCTGGACTGACAATCGATCCTGGGTTCCATAAGAAAGCAGGGTGAGCAGAAGAGCAAGCCAGGAAGCAGCACTCCCACGTTCCTGCCTTGGTTCTCCTCAGTGGACTGTGACCCAAGATAAATAAACCCCTCTCTCTCACTTTTGTCCAAGGAGTTTTACCACAGTAACAGAAACCCTAGCTCAGTCATCACCCTTATGAATCTTACATCTTTATGCAATTGCCTCTTGAGAATCTCTCTCCCTTCCCTGGCTTAACACATGGTTAGAATTCTTGGCAAACTGTATTGTTGATGGCAACCTTCATCCTCGACTACAGAGCAAACAACTTGAATATAACCAATATATGTTAACCCATGACCTAAGTTGTTTTTTTGTTTGTTTTTCAAATAATTAAAACCACCTTAGCAGGAATGCTGGCACACACCTGTAATCCCAGGTGAGACTCAGGAATTGATTATACAAGGCTGGCCTGGGCTGCAGGGTGAGACTCTATCAAAAGAAGGAATCTTCCTTCCATCCCTGTTTTACTAGAATGTCAAGTCAGAAGTGTCCATCAGGTCATTATTCCTAGGCTAGATGTAGGTCAGTGGTAGAGCACTGTGCTGGATCTCCCAGCATTGAAACAAAACAAAATCATTCCTGTTGGAGTTGTCTTAACTATTGAGATTATGCCTTACTTATTAACATGTATTTGAATTTGGTTTGTGTAATCAGAATAAGGCCAGCTTGAACATGCTGTGTTACCTTGACAGACTGCATGTGAGTGCTACTCTGGCCTTTGTGTATGAATAGTCTACAGATAATGGAATTCACTGTTCCTCTTAACAATATCAAAGACTTTATCTGTATGATTGCCTGAGCTTCCAATAATTTTGGAGTTTAACACTTTTACCAGTTCTTCCAGTGTTATCAGCTTGTTTTCTTCTGGAAGTTGTATCTCCATTGAGTATCTCTGCTGTGAGGCTTTGCTTCCCAGGTCTGTCTCTGAGACTCAGTCCTCAGGAGCAGACTCCCTAGTAGCCGAGACCAAGGAGAACATGAGAGGGAAGCCATGCATGGCTTTCAACTTGAACTGAAGCTCTGTTCTCAGACACAGCACACATCTGTGGCTTCTTTCCTGATGGCTCAGAAGTTTGTGGACCCCTCATTCCCCTGCTAACTCCAGGATACCCCAAAGGAGTATCTTGCCCTTTCTCACAATTTAAATTGGTATGCATGGTTTTATTTTGAGGGATACTTTTTCTGAGACAATAATGACCTCCTTCTCCAAGTTACAAAGAATGTGGCAAAGCAATGCTTTACATTAGGATTTGAGGGGTTTTCTATGACAAAAACCCCAACCACCCAAATCTTTATCACTGACTGATGATTTGGATGAGAATTGTACCCATAGGCTCAGCTGTTTTGAGTGTATGAATATTTGGGCCCAGGTTGGTAGAATCTGAACGGATTAGGACAGCCTTGGAGGAGCAGTCACTGGGGTGGGATTTGAGGTTTTAAAAGCGCACACCAGGCTCAGTTAACTCCCTCTTTGCTTCCTACTTGTTGATCAGATATAAACTCTCAGCCACACCTACAGTACCATGCTGGCCTGCTCCCCACTATGATGGTCATGGGCCATAACCCTCTGAAACTGTAAGCCAACCCCCAATAAACTGTAAGTCAGCTCCCAATAAGTCCTTGGGTCATTCTGTGTCTTCACAGCAATAGAAAAGAAGCTGACTTCTTGATTTCAGGGATAATAGTTATCAGAATGAAAGTGAATGTGGTTACAGAATCTTACCCTGGAGGTGATTTCTATGCCCATCTTTTAATATTTAAGTTAAGCACAAATTCATACATTAGAAATAACCCGCTCATTCTCCAGTCTGCAAAGGTGTGTTTTACATAGACTCTTGATTTCTTTTGTTAACTAGAGAGAAAAGCAACTTAAGTCTCCCAGAGAGAAGCTTCTGTATCCAGAGAACATCTAGTTGGCATCCATCAGATTAGGGGTGGCACAGCTCAGGAGGGAGCCTACAGTCAGTGTGGCCAAGTCTCAGGGGCCCAAGACCCCCTCTGGATTCCATTACTTCACAAGGCATGCTCAAAATGATGCTGCTCCAACATCACGCCCCCTTGGCTCTGGGGAAACATGAGTTGCTCTAAATGAATATGAAAAAGCAGTGAAGAAAAGGACAGGTCTCTCATTCTTTATCTGCCCACTGAGTTGTTTCCTATTTGTTAGTAACAAATGAGGAGATTTAGCTAATGGATTTAGTACTTTCACTCAGTTGTTTAGTAGGTAAAAACAGGGAGGTAAGAGTATCCAAGCACTCCCCAGAACCAGGATGAGAAATTAGGTGTTTAGAACTCTAGGTTAGCTTCTCTCCAACAGGCCACTGAGGTGTTTCTCCCCACCTGGTGCTCTGGACTTCTGGGCAAGCATACCCTGGAAGCTTTGTTAACGCACTCACAGGGGAACAGCCCTTTGCCCCTCTTCCCAAGGCTCCCTCCAAGGATTTAAGACCAGAACACAGCCCTCTCATGCATGCACACACCATATCCTTCCCCTTCCCCAAAGGCTGGAACTAAAGCATGTGCTGTGTGTCAGGCAGCCAGCATGTCCTCTTAAAGCATGACCAGGGAGGGCTGCTCTAAGAGCTGAAAGCTGGCATCCTTCCTCTGGTGCTCAAAAGGCTGAAAAGACCCTCTGGCATCCCAACTCACCCTTCCCAGAGAAACGGGTACTTTGTCCTTTGCCAGCTGTGTGTCCAGGAGACTACTCTCAGTTTTGTGCATTTATAGCAAGCATCCACTGCACGTCCCACTTAGGGACCTTCTGTCTCTACTGCTGCTTTGTGTTTCTGCTTCTTATGGAAGTATCTCAAGCCTTTTACCAACAGCAATGCCCCAAGGATGAATGGTGCGATCTTACAATTTCCTTTGATGGCGAGATGAAGGAAGAGGCACAGAAGCCCACGTGTTCTGATCCATGCGTCCTTTATTCCATTACCAACCACCGTGCCGCATTCAGGCAACAGCACACAAACTGGCAACCAACGCAATCCAGTTGTACAACGATCTGAGGCTTACAGTACATTTAAGGCTTTTAAATTTGAAAAAAAAAAAAAAAAAACTAAAATAAGACCAAACAACCCCAAACCCAATCCCCCAACCAATACAAGTAGTGTAGCAATTTTAAGCATCTCATTTCTGATGTTCACCTGGCACAACTCCAGTGTCAAAACCCAAATAACTCCTAAACTAAGAAATCAGCTTAGGGTAATTTTAATTACCTAAAGTCTTCAAAGCAGAAACTTGAAATTTTTGTCTTGGAAATGTTATAAAAATTTTAATAGCAAAACATAGGAATAAAAACATATTAACAAAATGTATTCAATCATTTACAATACAAACAAGGAATCTGCAGTTCATTGTTGTAGCCTGACAAAAGAAAACTACCCATTAAGAATCTGTGCACAATGTCATTGCAAATATGTACAGGACTTTAAAAAAGCCGACAAGGAGGACTTTACAGAAGGAAAGTCGGCCAGGCTTTATTAGACCAACCAGACAATCAAAATATTAAAACTCTTGGCTAGTAATAAATTTACACTTAAAAAAACCCCAGTTTCCTGTTGTTTAAGAATATTCCAGTTGTATTTATATGATTACAGTTGATGAAGCTGTTGGTGATAGTTCCAGTAAACTACTCTTTATTTCATGTGTGTGGGAAAGACTGGCATGTTAACACAAGTTTATGGAGGATTTCTCACAACAGTTTTCCAGTTACACTAACATAGCTTCACAAATGGATCTCACCCATGGCACCAGAGCTGAGAGTGCTGCAGATCAAACACTGGCACATGGGTGAGAGGGTGATCCTGCACCAGTTGGGGAATCAGAGGTGACAGCAAGGGAGACAGACTTGATCACGCTTTAGTCTATGACGCTGGGAAACAGTCCCCATGGTCAGCTCTCATTCCCACTCCTGCAAGGTCATACAGCTGAGATTCCAGCTGCTCAGCCTAATGGAAGGTGGAGATTAAGTACAAAAGACAGACTTTGTTAGCTCTTTAAGGAGAACATCCCAAGGACTGGGCCCCTCTCTGTGGTTATTGGGCATCACTGTTAATCCAGTCAAAGTGTGTGCAAACAAGGATCCTCGCTTCACAGTAATGAGGTAAGGCTGGCCGCCATCTTCAAGAGTTGGGAAGCTCGTGAGATATGAATTGTTTTAGTCGTTCTAGGTACTGTGCATAGAGCTCTATGTCATTGTGCCCAGCCCCCTCAACCCACAGCGGCTCCACAGCACGGGGACAGCGCTCATACATTGCCAGGCCATGGGAGAAATCGATGACCTCGTCCTCAGTACCGTGAATGACCAATACAGGAGAGGTGACTTTCGATATCTTGTCAATGCTGCAAGACAGAAATGGGAAAAGGAGACAAGGACTCCTTTAGTCATGCTCACAGAAGTGCTGCCCTGTTAAGTGGGTCAACACCAAGGCTGGACAGAACAGAGCTTGGTGGTGCCCTCACGACTAACAGGAGTGTCCAGGTAGAAGTGATGAACTCACACCAACACACTATAATGGCTCAGCTTTCTTTTCCATTGTTTTCTAGTAATATCTTTTTTCTCTTAACATATCTTTAAAATTTGAAATCACTTAAGATTTGTAGCACAGGAAGATATTACAGGTTCCCATAATTTCTAACTCATTTCCTATTGGGCTAACAGCAGCCATTACCGTGCTTTATTTGTCAAAACCAGGAAATCAACTTTGGTACACACATATTAAGTAACACCTCCCACTTTTATTTGGATCCCATTTGTTTTTTCCACAAATGACTCCTTCCTATTCCAACAGCCTGTCAAGAATACTATGTAGCACTTAACTACTTTTTTTTAATTAAAAACATCAGACTAGCAAACCAGTACCTAATTTTTTTTTTTTTTTTAGATATTCATGTTTTGAGAAGACTTTAAAATGTAAATAGGCCAGCACTTGAGATATCTGACTGAATGTCTTTGCAAAGTGGGACTGGGTGCTCCTCCAATTCTCAGAAGCAAATTCAGGTTGGGTATAACTTTAATCCCAGTACTCAGGAGGCAGAGGCCAATGGATCTCTGTGAGTTTGAAGCCAACCTAGACTATAGAGTGAATTACAGGACAGGCTCCAAAGCTACACAGAGAAACCATGTGAAAAACAAAACAAAAAACCCCAAACAAACAAGGAAGCAAATCTGGGCTGGAGAGATGGATCAGTGGCTTAGAGCACTTGTTGCTCTTATAGAGGACCCAGGTTCAATTTCCAGAATACACGTGTTGGCTCATAACTATCCATAACTCCAATTCCAGGGGATCTGACATTCTCTTCTGGTTTCTTTGGGTACTAGGCACACATGTGGTACACATACATGAAAGTAAAACTTATACATATAAAATAATCTGAAAATATTTTTTGAAGAAGCCCCATTTCATAAAAGCCGAGGCCTAACTCTTTGATAAAAAGAAAAGCACTACTTAGTTCACAAGCGTAATGTGATGTTTAGATTATACTCCAACTACCTTCTGCTTATAAAAGACCAAATCCACTCTTACAGGATGAATTTTCAAGGACCTTCAAAAGACCGAACTTTAGGCTCTGAAGACATCCCAGGAGGAGCTGAAAGGACCTAAGGCATTTGTCAGGCTGGGTGCCTGGGTGACTGCTCTGATGGGGAGATGGTCCATTAAGCCATGAGTAAATATATCTTTCCATCTGTCCTTTTGCCCAAGACCTGCTTTACTGGTGACTCCTTTTTATAGTTGATCCTAGTCAGGCTTGTAAAAAGACACAAATGGGTCTATTTGTGGGAGTCTTTCTGATAAAGTAACAGCTAACATTCATCACAGCTGAACACTTTATGCAGTCCACATGAAATCTCATTTAATCCTTGTGAAACAGGACCCATGAGGAATTGCCTTGTGTTTGATCAGGGAGGGAACTGAAGCTCAGAGAGATTAAAAAGTACAGGCACTAGGCCAAGGAGATAATAAAGAGAGCTAACATCAGTTGTACATTCCAAAGGTCTACAAGTTGACTGCCACAGTCTTTATGAACAACCCGTGAAGCTGTCAACTGCTTGAAGGCACCCCAGAAAGACTGAAAAATCCCAGCAGCCATAGGATCTGAGAAAATCAGAGCCTCTGTGGCCATGTGCAGTTTTGCAGAGCAGGAATCTCACCAGAAACCTACGCCTCCCCTGAATTTCATCTTAAAGTGCCTTCCTTTATAAGCCTTCAACTACACTCAGTTAAAGAAGATAGTTATTCATCTGTTAGGAGAGACCTGAGACTATGCCCCATGCTGCTGTTTCTGGGAACCTCCTGCTGTCTGCAGCAGGCATCTGAAGTTGAAAGCCATTGTCTGACCCTCTATGCAAAGGTAGAAAATAACCAACACTGAAGTATGAACAGGACTTATCCTCTTTATCTTTTTAACATTGGAAGGAACTGTGAAAGTGTCTTCCCTTTCAGAAAGAAAGCATTCTGCCATCTGGTAGCAAAGGATACTATATTTAAAAAAAAAAAAAAAAAAAAAAGGTTTGCCAAATCTAATTAATGTTGAAAGCCAGTACAGCCATTAATGGCTTGAAATATATTCCATCAATAATTTAGGGTGCTGAGTAGAAGCCATGGCCTCTTTGTCTCTAACTTTACGAAGCCAGTGATGTCACTGCTCTTGGCCTGATCTATAAAGAGTACAGTAACAGAATCAACTTTTTAACACCGCTGGGAAGGCTAACTGGAGGGGCAGTCACAACACCTGGTGAGTCAGACAAATAGCATCTGTTGCTGGTTTGTCATTAATTAATAAAGTGCAATTAGTTACAATGGAATTAGCTTCAATAGCTGCATTTTAAGGTATAGGCTAATCTCGTTATTTTGTTGCCAGGGTAACTCCTAGAATTGCTTCCCACAAACATGCAAAATACTCATCTCTAAACAAACGGCCTCTCATTACCAATTCAGCACAAATAAGGCCACATTTGCAAGGCACATCAACCCTACTTAGCATTCGAAGTCATGCCACCAGGAATGCACAGTGTCCCATTCCCAGGAAGCAGGGTTTCAGTGCAAGCTGTACAGAATTGAGGGTCAGCCAGGGTGCTAACAGAGGTTTCTTCCTGTGAAATGAGACAGTGGCCGTATGCAGCCAAATGCTGTTTTTTCTTCCCCAGCAAGAACAGGACGGTGGCAATTAATAGGTCAACTGAAGCCCATGCATTACTCCTGCTGATGCTTTTCCTGGAAAGTGTAATACAAGCTGGCTAGCTTCTGCAATGTACTGTGGGAAAAAGCTCAGGGGCAAGTACTCTAAAAATACTTCTCACATTATCACTTAAATAACAAAAAAACAAAACAAACAGTGAAGAAGGAACTTGCAAACAAAGCACTTTCCTCACAGCTTTCAAATTACAGTGGTTCTCCCTTCCTTTAAGGGGAGCTAGAGAACAGCAGGGGTCAGATAGCAGGAGGAGCCCTAGGCTGGCCAGGACAGGTCTTATGCCTCTCCCAGGCAGGACATGTCTACAGGGGCAGGCTCAAAGTGTAATATCGGGAATAGGAGGTAATTTTCTCAACTATCCCCAGGGACATCTTTCTATTCTTCTCTCAAAGATTACCTGAGCATGTGACTTCCCCCTCATCCACATTCTCTGACTAAAAACAAGAAATTTCATACATGTGCTTGTTTTTATTTCAGGGTCTAGACCAGGGCTAATTGCTTCTTTAGACCTCTTGTGTGTAGCTCTTCAGTAATTGAGCAATACAGGTCCCTCTGAATAAATCAACACTGAACTGGAAGTTCCTTCAGGACATGCTGTATGTTACAGCTTAATCAATTAGTCCTGGGCCCTGGCACACTCAAGGTCCTTATCCATCATCTGGAGACTGCAGTCTCAGTATGCTACATTTGCCTCACATCCCCAGTGGTGCCCAGTGGGCCTGACATGGGAGGATGCTCAATCAATATTAGAAATTGCACAGATGTGGACTCTGAGCACTGACTGACTTCTCACTCATCCAGTTGTACACTTACCTGGGGAAAGCATCAAAACAGTATGTTTTCCTGGTATCTGGAAAAGCAACACGCAAACCAGACATCAGTGGGGAATGGAGGATGACCGCTGCACACTCATATCTCGAGGCCAGGTCCACAGTGGGGACAGTCCCAATGCTCTGTCCATAGAGGATAATGTTCTCAGGACTCACGCCATACCTGAGCAAAGCAGAGGTTACACACCATTAGATAATGTGTGGGAACAGGGACGATGACAATGATATATTAAGCCCACAAAAACTCACACACATATTAACTTAAAACTTTTATCATCTAACCTTTATATTAGCTTAAAATGAATGTGAATTTTATAAAAACAAACAACAGAGGCCTATTTAAGAACTAAATGACTAAGAATCTGTCTTCTACATTTGTAAAAGTACCGAGCATAACTTCATTCCTGGCTGGTCATCTAAACAAATGCATTGCAAATTTTGGGCAAGGTTTTACTCATCTTGATATTATGCTATTCCTTTTAAAGATTTTCTTTGATAGTCATTTTTCTGAAGTAAAAATAAATGCAAGGTCTGACAAACTAACAATACTTCAAGTGAAGTTTTAATGCTGTGACAGACACTGGCATTTATCACAGAACAGTTGTCTGAGAGATAATGAATTTGAAAGCAATCACATCTTTTTTTCGAGACAGGGTTTCTCTGTGGCTTTGGCTGTCCGGGCACTCACTCTTGTAGACCTGGCTGTTCTCGAACTCACAGAGATCCACCTGCCTCTTCTTCCCAAGTGCTGTGATTAAAGGCGTGTGTCACCAACAATCACATCTTCTTAAGCCTCTTCTCAGGGCTACATGCTTCCCAGATTTTCAACTCAGCCGTGGTCTCCAGATCCACCTCTCTAAAAGTTCCAGCAGGCAATGCCCATGTAGAAGACCGACTTCCCAGCCTCCCTTGCAGCTCTACCAAGGGCAGATGTTAATGAACAACCACCAGGTGTGGCTTTGAAGGAAGAAGTGTGCTTTCCTTTCTTCCCTCCCTCCATGTTGATGGGAAGTGATGTGAGGTGAAGGTGGGAGAGAAAGCTACATGCTCCTATAAGGGCAGAACAAATCAGAAGGCAGACAGATAAATGCACCCCCTTACTAGCCTACAACAGACAGATAGATGAGAGACGAGAGATGGCTCAACTGGTTAAAAAAACAAACAAACAAACAAACAAAAAAAAGACGCTTATTGCCAAGGCTGAGGACTTGAGTTCTTATCCCTAGGACCCACATAATAGAAGGAGGGAACCTATTCCTACACTGCCCTCTGACTCACATATGTGCAGCATCACACACACACACACACACACACACACACACACACACACACACACAAACAATAAACAGATGTAAAACAAGTTTTTAAAAAGCTATCAAGAGTATACTAAGAGCAGGACAGGACAAAGAGAAAGACAAATGGGTGTGTGGGGAGAGCAGAGGAAGTGTGGACATCTAATACAAATAGAACACACAGCGCCTCGTTTTGTTATCACATGAAGATGCGCATTAAAGCAGCGAGTAGTTATTTTATACCCAAGAGACTGAGGAAAACAAGAAAAACAATACACAAGGTGGTGGAATGTGCTGTCATCTTGGCTGCGTCTGGAATACTCTCTGCACATGTGCAAGTTCTGCAGAGGCTCTTGCTGAGAAAAGTGTCAACACATGGGGTGGGTCTTGGATGAACAGAAGTGTAGAGGTAAGGGAGCGCCCATCTAGCACCCATCTCTCTGCTCCTTCCTGACCACAGACCCAGTGTGAGCAGGCACCTCATGTCCTTGCTGTCCTGCCTTTATCCCACTGTACTCAAACTGCAAGCCAATAAAAATAAAAAACTATCCTTTGTCAAGTTGCTTTTGTTACTTTCGTCACAGGGATGAGAAAGTAATACAGATGACAAGATTGAACAACAGAATGTATTAGTTTATAGAAGGAGTATAATTGAAGGGAGTATAAATTGCTACAAAAAAAAAAAAAATTGGGAAAACAACCTGGCAATCTGACATAAGCAGGTAACACTAACGGTACCATATGCAAAGTGTGTAAACCCACCAAAATGAAATGTTATTGTTTATTGTTCACCTGACAGCAATATTGTTACTGTTAACTTGATGCACTACTGAAAAACAAAGATCTGAGTCCCTACTAGTCAGGATAGCAGCTGTGGTGTGACAGGGAAGGGTTTCGTCTGGAAAGAAAGGTGTCAGGGTGCAGGGTGCAGTCTGTGTCCTGTTACAGTGTGCATCTCATTGGTCATTAGGTTGGACACTTGCTAGCTTATGATCCTCCGAGACTGGGGTTTAGATAGTTATTATCAGTCATGTGGGTGCTGGGAACTGCACCCAGGTCCTCTAGAAGAGAAGCAAGTGTTCTGACACTGAGCCACCTCTCCAGTCTCTAAAAAAGATATGTTTAAAGGAACATAAGGCCAAAAAATAGCTACTATAGAAAAGCTAACATCGGAATGTTCAAATGCAGCATACAAAAATAGGGCTGTGCTCCTTTAAAACGTAAGGAAAGGGACCTTGAGAGCAGAGTGTGAAATGGCAATGATGGTGTATTTTCAGGAAGAGTAGTCAATGATTTTTTCTTCTTAACGCCTCATTCAATCTAGAAAATACAATCCATGCTGCTTCTTTGGGGAGTTTACAAGGAAAGGCTCATAGTCCATTAGACATAGTCCATTAGACAGACAACAGAACTCAAGATGCAGCTCAAGGAGAAGGGACAACACCATGCTGTAGGACAGCAGGGAGACTCCACAGAAGGACATGAGAGAACTCAGGACAAATTGAAACAGCTGCTGCACCCAGTACCAGTGTGGAACTGGGGAGAGTATGCGTATGTGCGGAGAGGAGAGGGCCAGAAAACACACAGGAAGCAGACCAAGGCACTTGTAGGCATTGACCAGAATGAGAGACATGAGAGTGTTCAAAGGTTAGGCCACTTGGCATCTGCTGAGTAGTTATCTGTGACCATCGGTTTGAGAATGAGAAGGAAGAAAATATCTAATAAACCAAGAAGGTTTGAAAACAAAACAAAATCCTGGCAACAGCTCCTACAAGTTCCTAGGAACTCAGAGGAGCAGGTCTGCCTACGGCAACCTCAGGGAGCTGCTCCATGGGGGCTGGGGGCTCAGTGCAGCTATGTGTTTGCTGATCATGAAGATTCCCTCTATCAAGGAGGGGTGGGTGAATGGCATCTTTCTACAGTGGATAAGGTGCTGAATCAGCATTGCTGTTATTACGACAACCCCTTGAAAATGCTCTCCTGGGACTGTTTCACACGAGCCACATTTCTTCTTCCCTCTGTGAGTTCCTTCTGCTTCCTTGCTCGTGCCTCTTTCCTCTTGGGCATCCTACAGCCTCAATTCTCAGAATTCTGTTCTAGAACCTCGTCATAATAATTATTTCCATGTAGGACTCTCCAATGTCAGAGAGTAGCAGAAGCATTACAGCTGTGCAGCAGTTATTGCTGAATGGATGACTAGACAGCCTGACGTTCCCGACCCTCTTCGTGCTGCTATTTTCTTCTTAGCTTTCAGCGTTTCACACTCGGTACCTCCCCAGTGACTCTTCATGCTGATTTCCCCATCCTTCTATTCCTAGTTCTCTCCAGTCCCATACCTTTCATCCGAGGGCTGGGAACCAAGAGGAAGTCTCCTGCATATCCTCTTAATCACTAAGCCTGACCCATTCCAGTCTTTGAGATGTTTTTCACACTGACTGCCTTTGTGACACAGGTTGCTGCTCTGTGGGTACACATGGTAACATCTTGTGTGCGACTGACCAGGAACTGCCTGATGAAACAAGTATGGTAGGTATGCCTTCAAGGTGATGAGCATCTCCATTGCAAGAATCTGGAGTCAGTTCCCAGAGGTCATTCTGGAGATCCTACTGGCACTGCCTCTACATCCTTCCCCAGGAGGCTTAGATTGCTGACTTCTAATCTGGCCCATTCTGTGAATCATCCCATGACTATGGGAAACAGGTGTCCTAGTTTCTAGATCCCAACTGGGTTTCAACTCCCCTACCTCACGGACTCATGCTAATGATACACAGCTCTTGATAGCTTGTCAGGACTCTGGCCCCTGCTCAGGGCAGAACTTGGGGTAGCACCTGACCTGACAAATGTCCATGTCAGACCTGCCCTTCTCTCAGACCTGCCTTGCTCCCAGTTCGAACAACACGAACCTCCAAGATCCTCATTGCAGCCCATTTCTCAGGCTCACTGCATAATGTACCTCTCTGAAAACAAAGCAGAGCAAATCACCTTTTATTCTGTTACTTTCTAATCAAACCCTTCAGCAAATCCCTACCTCCAAGCCTACATATCCAAACAAACCACCACCTGGCTTGGTTGAATAACTATTCCAACCTTTACTCTCCAAGTAGCCCTTCAGCCATGAAAAGCTTAATTTCTTGCTGATCATAAACACCTTCTGCCTCAAGCCCTCGATGCCCTTCATCATCACTGCCAACCACTGAGCCCTGTAGACTCCTCCCAGTTCTACCATCTTCCCACACTTTCCCAATGTCTCTAGTCCACCCACAGTATCGTTCTACCTGAGCTGTTCATTCAGGTTCACTGAAGTGAGGTGAGGGGTATATGATGAGCCACTCTGCTGCATGCAAGCCCTGCACTACTTGTGGGGTATGAGCCCACAACCTTAGGTATACCCTTTAGGAAATTTAAGGACACCCATGTCCAGAGGTCAGTTGGAGGCATCTCCAGCTTTGAACTAAGTGTGATTACCGCCAAAGGCTACACAGAAACAAACAGACACACAGACACAGACACAGACACATGCACACACACACACACGCGCGCGCGCGCTTGCAATGGGGCACTGTCTATCCTTTTTTTTGCTGTTTGCTTTAGATAAGAACTTCTCTGGCCCACAGCTTGCCCAGTAGGTTAGACCAGGCTGGCTAGTAAGCCCCGAGAATCTTCCCATCTCTGCCTTCTTAGCTCAAGGATTACATGTGTGCACCAACATGCCTGTTTTGTTCACATGAGTTCTAAAGACCAAATTCAGGTCCTAGAAACAGAGCCATCTCTCTAGGCCAACGGCTATAAAAAAAAAATCCATGCATACTTAATATTTCTGTGATATAAAACTCACTGAAGTCTGACACCTTGGAGATGCCAGACAGGAGCA